GAATGAGGAGGATGTCCCACAAAGCGATGGCTTGATGTGTGGTGTAGAGATGAATAAGGAAGACTTCTACATGGAGTGAGGGATTGATTAGGGTGTGACGGTGATATTAGATTGGTTACACATAGGATATTGATAAAATAATTAAATATATTAGAGGTAATGTTAACAGAGCTTCTCACTGTAAGAAAAGAATTGAGATTTGGAAAGGAAGAAAACTTCCTTGAATACTTTGGTTATGTTGGAATTATAAGTATTGATGTCAGTTTTGGATTTTAGCATAGATGATAGATAGATAGATAGATAGATAGATAGATAGATAGATAGATAGATGATAGATAATTTCCCTAAATCATCCACTAAAATGTTCTGGGAACAACAATACCTCAGTAGAAGTGAGCATACCTAGAGATCTTGCTTTAAGTTTCTAAAATGGGGGAAGGGCTTATTCAGAGTATGAACAGGGAAAGTAAAAGATGGGACTGGAACATTTTGTGTCACAAAGCAAACAGACACTTCAATAATGTTCGGGGTGTGGGGGAAGGTGGCCCAAACAATGTATACACATGTGAGTAAATGTAAAAATGATAAAATAAAAAAAATGAAAAAAAGAAGAATGTTGGGAACATATCAGAAGGACACAGAAATGATTTTGAGGGAGCTCTACTGGTCATATTTAGCATACATTACACGTCAAAATAATTATAGCAATAAATTATAAACATTAAATATCATAGGGAACCATGAGTTCTTACTGAATAATTACTGAATAATTAAGTTCTTACTGAATAATTAAATAAGTAAATAAATTGGAGATTTGATGAAGAACATATTATTAATATAGTTTCAAAGTATTTCCTTACAAAATACTTAATTATAAAAGGAAAGTAGTAACTATCATTAGAATATCAACAGATACCACTTTAATCAAGTGATAAAAGTGAACATTACCAGTAATGAGGTAAATCATAATCATATAGGAAGCATTGAAAAAAAGACCCTATCTGTTTTGGGTTTTTTTTTCTATCAGAGATGCATAGCCAGAACCTAATTATGAGTCAGACACAGTCTAATCAGATAAATCTAATTGAGAGATATAGTCCATGAAGTAACTGGCTTGTAACTTTTCTAGTGTCCAGTTCATAAACTTCAAGGAAAGGCTGAGAAACTGTTCCAGACTGAAAGAGACTCAAGATTCAGACTCCTGCAAATAGGCTACTGAATGCAAACTGTGTTTCTGAACAGAATCCACTTCCTATAGGATATCCATTCATTATTAGAACAAGTATGGAAACTTGAGTGGATTCTGAAGATTGGTGATATAATTGTGTATTATTGTTAATTTCCTGATTTTTATAGTAATATGTTTTTATAGAAACTAAACACTAAAATATTAAGGGATTATTGAGTATCAGACTAGGAAAAAACATGGTAGGTGTTTTTTAGGTGGTTCAGGAAAAAAGCATGGTAGTATTCATACAGTTCTTCTGTAAGTTTAATATTGCCTTGTAGATCACTTAGTCTTTGTTCATTAATTTTGACTTTGAGAAGTTTATTGCTTTTATTGCTATGTCTTCAAATTCACAAAATTCTTTTTATACAGTTTCTAATCTGCTGTTAACCTCATGTAGTGAATTTTTATTTTGGATAGTATATTTTTCAGCCTTAGAAGTTTTTTTTATAGTTTTCATTTGCTTCCACATAATGTTCTTGTTTTTTCTTCAAATCTGTTAGTATGTTTATAATAGCTTTATTATACTTACTGTATGTCTCTGTGTATGTGTCTCTTTCTTTCTTTGTTTCTCTCTGTGGTGCTGAGGATCTAATGTAGGGCCTTGTACATGGTAGGCATGTGCTCTACCCCCTGCTCAGCCCTAAAGTAGAAACTTATAGCCTTTGTCTGCTATTTTCATTTTCTCCTTCATTTCTAAGTTTATTGATAATTTCCATTATCTTTTCTGGTCATGAGTCATTTTTTCTTTCTTCCTTTTACTTTTAGTATGTCTAGTAATTTTTTAATTGTATGCCAGTCCTTGTGATCACTAAATTACTGTGTTTGGATCTTGTCCTTCAGAGGGTGACAAATGTTGTCTTGGCTGATTGTGAGGAAACTTACAATAAGCTTGATATTTTTATGGCTTGTTTTTAAGCTTTGTTAGGGAGGGTCTTGGATAGCTTTTCCACACCCATTAATTCTAAGACCTGAGTCTTCTGAGGTCTCTACTAACTGCTCTAGATTTCATAAAAGTATCTTTTCCACTCTGGCTGATCAGAACTCAAAATTCTCTCTGTAGTTTGTGAGCTTTAGGAATTGTTTGGGTTATAGCGCTCTTGTATTCATTTTATACTTAGCCATGTAGAGTTTTAGGATATATATGTATCCTAAATATATATACATATTAGGCAAAATCTTAAAGACAGACTTTTACAATTCTTTGCCCTCTTATCTCTGGTATACTTTTCTAAAAGTTTAGTCAGTTCTGCTTTCTTGAACCTCAAGCTTTGTTTCTTTGAGCTCAGTGAAACTTGGACTACCCTCCTTCTTACACCTTATTCTGGCAAGTGCCTTAACTGCCTCACTAGAGAGAGTCTAGCTAGGGATTATTAGCCTAGCATTACCTGCTGTCCAAAAGTCTGTAAACAATTTTTCATAAGTTTTATCCTGATTTACTAGTTCTTTATGATAGCCACTTAGAATAATTGCTTCTTTCTTCTCCCCTTCCCCAACACAGGGATTGAATCCAAGGCCTCGCACTTGCTAGGCAAGTGCTCTACCACTTGTGCTAGGCCCCCTAGCCCTTTTGGTTTTATTTTATTTTTGAGATAGTGTCTTGCTACCTATACCCAGGCTGGCCCTGAACTCAGTCCTCTACAAGTGTGCATCACCATATCCAACTACTAATAGCTTATAGTAGCTACTTTCATTTTCATTTAGTTTGGTTGTAATTATTTTCTCATCTAATATTGTGAGCAGTCTCAGAGTAGGTAGCTGAACTGATTCAGGGTTAGGGATTGATAGTGTGGGTGTGGTCAAAGGACAGAAGAAACAAGATGTTGGGAGTGCTGCCAAGAGAATGGTAAAAGTAGTGATTCTCTGTGTGATCTGAGGATTTTTTCAGGAGTCTAAAGGGTCTCCCCACCACTATTTGTATGAAGCTGAGATTTCATCTTGAACCAAAATAACACAAATAGGTTGGGAATGAAGACACAAAGTTAAGATTCAAGTTGTTTTTATAAAGTAAACTATCCATTAAGGAGATTTGAAGAGATAGTGAAACTGTCCCTTTTCCTACTAAATTTTTTGTTGGGTGTTTTTTGGCATGTAAAAGGTTTGTTATTGTTTTTTTTTAATGAGTTAGTAAACAACTTTCAGGTGTTCTGTTTTTATTTCTTATGCAGTAAATACTGAAAATTATAGCCACAAAAGCAAGTGGTTAGAGCCATCAATTGAGATTATAAAGGAGTCTTAAGACCTAAAAGTTTGAGATACGTGTCAGTTTTTTGACTTCTCTACATCCTTGCGTGAAGGATTAAATTCTAGAATCATGGACTAATGCTCTATTCAAGCACTTGTTTAGCTTTCTGCCTTATGATGTTCTGGACTCAGCCCTTGCACAGGGAATTTTGATTTATTATCTGTCATTTCACTCAACAACATCTTTCTTCAGCTTGGTCTTTTTGAGCTGATGAGGAACTAGCTCATACATGCTTATGTGCTGGCCTCAACTTAACCTTCTGTTCTTTAAATTTCTCTTTTTATTATTATTTTTTTGTTTTGAGATACTGGGACTTGAACTCAGAGCCTTCACCTTGAGCCAGTCCACCAGCCCTATTTTTGTCAAGGGTTTTTCGAGATAAGTTCTCGTGGAACTATTTGCCCAGGCTGGCTTTGAACCACGATCTTCCTGATCTCTGCTTCCTAAGTACCTAGGATTACAGGTGTGAGTCACTGGTGCCCATTCTTAATCATGCATGCCCTGATAATTTTTCTGCTTCAGTTTCTGCTCCCCCAAAATCATTCAGCCCTTTGCTTTCATTGAATTTGCAAAGTTTACCCAATATAAAAGTATTAATTTATGTAATCGACTTCCTTCTTTAATTTTCTGGGATGTTGCCTGGCCAAATATAATCCCTATTACTGAGTGAGGCTAAATAACAATTATTGAGTTGTTAGCCTATATATTTTTTGTCACTACTGGGGTTTGAACTTGGAGTTTCATGCTTGCTGGGCAAGTGCTCTATGACTTGAGCCATGCCCCTAGCCCATTTTGCTTTAGTTATTTTTCAGATAGGGTTTCATGCTTTTTTCCTGGGCCAGTGTTGGACTGTGATCATCATACCTGTGCCTCTTGGGTAACTGGGATTATAACATGTACCACCATGCCCAGCTTGTTTGTTCAGATGGGGTCTTGTTAACTTTTTGCCCAGACTGGCCTTGAACTGCATTCCTTCCAATCTCTGCCTCTCATGTAGCTGGGATTACAGGATAAATTCTTGATTTATAATAAACACATTATTTTGAGTGATGTGATACATATTTAAGGAAGTAAGAGGTTATTCATTCCGAGAATGTAGTGATTTAAAATGAGAATGAAGGGCAACATCTGACTTAGGTTTCAAATTTATTTTGCCACTGATTTAGGAATATCAGATGCATTTATATTAGTTAGAAGTACAGAATACATGTCAAAGTAATCTGTTCTTTTCTATTATCTGTTAATGTAGGTGAATACATAACTTTTTAAAAAGAAAAAAATTTATATGATAGCTTTAGCTGTATTTCAATGTAATTTTAAAATATTTTGCAAATTTCTTTCAGTAATCCTAAATCGGAGAGTCAGAGAGTAAACAAAAAAGTCAACAATGATGCTTCACTTAGAATTCATAATTTATCCATTTTGGTGAGACAGATAAAATATTATTACCAGGTAAGTGGTTCTTTTTTTTTTAATCTGGTATTTTAATAATGACTCTCCTGTTTATATTGTTGTGTTGTTTAGTGTCCTTCATCTAACAAATATTAAAATAAATAAGTATTATGTGCCAGGTCCTGATTTATTTGCTGGAGATTCTATTAATAGTAAAGATATAAGCAAGTACTTCATTATAAAATGATTGCTGCATTTTATGTATTTTTAAAATCAGTTCCTAGTTGCTTGAAAAGTTGTATAATGCAACAGTTTTGTTAGTTTACTCAAATTATTCTTTTGAAGAGTGTGCTTTTTACTGTCTTTAAAAAAAAAAAAAAAACATAGTTGGAGCTGTGGCTCAAGTGGTAGAGTGCTTGCCTAGAGGCCCTGAATTCAGTCCCCAGTACTATAAAATAAAAGCAAAAAAACTTAACTTAAAATGCGTATTTCTGTTTTTTTAATATTACCATTCTTAAGGCTACTGATGTGCCCCTAAGAATCAGTAGAGCTGCATTACACAAATTTTGGTTTGGTGTATTTTTAAATGTCTGTTCTTATGCATTTTCTTACTTATGTTGTGATTTATTTCATTCCAGAGTTATATACAGGTGTACTTTTTAAATTTCCAAACATAGAATATTTTTCAGGTAATCTGTTTTGGTTTTTGATTGTTGGTCAAAACATGTGCTTTATGTGATTCTGAGTCTTTGACATTTATTAATAATTACTTAACTTGGCCTTATTAATTTTGTCTCTTGAACTATCAGCTATTGAGAAAGATGAGTTGAAATATCCTTTTATGATGATGGACTTAACTAAGTTTTCTGTTACATTTTTTGAAGTAAATGTAGATGGGTATAAAATTGTTAAATCTTTCTGGAGAATTGGATCATTTACCAGTAATTGTTTCCACATTTTTTTTTTATTACTGGTTTGCGTTTTTTTTTTTTAACTGTTTCTGTTGTTTTCCCCAGAGACCACTGTCCAAATTCATCTTTCACATTTAAAATAGTGAAGGCCAAATTAGTCAATATCTTTACGCTTTTATAGCTTAGTACTATGACCTTAAAATACTTTAATGCTAGCCATTCTCTATGACTTTTGAGCTCTTTTGCCTTATACTTTTGTTCTGTTATCTATTTCTATTAACTGTAAAAATTAGATACTGAAACTATTTTTGAGTCAAGGTTTCTTTAAATCAAGCCACATGTCCTTTTTCTTCCTTCCCTCATGGTTTTCTCTTATATCTCAGACCTCCCTTCTATGTCTTTTCCTTACTGAAGTACATCTTTTAAATGTTTGTTTAGAGAGAACTTATTGATAATAAAATGTCTCGATCTTTATTTGCGTGAAATTGCCTTTATCTCATTTTTTTTTGGGTGGTGCTGGGATTTAAACCAGGGCTTCGTTCATGTTAAACACTTGTTCTGCCACTGAACTACATACCCAACTCCCAACTCCCACTTTTGTTCTTCAAAGACAGTTTTTTTTGGTTCTAAGTTGACAGTTATTTTTCTTACAGTGTTTTGCAGATTTTATTAGTCTATCTCTGTATTCTTTGGGGAGAAGTCTACTTTCATTCTAATTTTTGTTCCTAGTTTGAGCTGTCTTTTTTTTTTCTCTTTGCTAGTCTTAATGTTCTCTTAATTTTCTTTTATATTCTTTAATTTGGTATCATTCAGAGATTTCTATTAGATGTGTATTAGACTTTCCTATTCTGTCTTCCTTGTTTATTAAACTTTATATTCCCAGTCTGTTACGCTATTCTATTTTATTCAGAACTCTGTTTAGCTAATTTATGCCTTATCTATGTTCAAGTCTTCTGTTTAACTCATCAATTATATCTTTCATTTTTAGTTCTGTTCTTATTATGTGTGCCTTTTCATTTTGTTCATTTATTCTTTTGATTCATTCCTTTATTTCTTCAGAAATTAAAATTATTTTCTATTTTAGATTTGCATTTGATAATTCCAAAACCTGAGCCATGTGACTATCTGAGCTCTGAATCTGCTCTTTGTTTTCTGCTTGCTATTTCTTGGTGGTAGTGTCGGTGGTGTCAGCAGATGTGATGTGTCTGTGTGTTTAAATTGTATGTTCATTTCTGGGGAGAACATTATCTATGGGAATTCTTTTTGTGTTTGGGCCAAGGATGCATTGCTTCAGGAGTATTTGTTTCCTCTTGTGCAAATAATCCTGAGCCCTGAATTTCATTTTTTAAGGCAACTTTATATTATTTTAGAAATACTGGCACACTGTAGAAAATCAGAAAAAAAAATATAGTAAGTACAAACATAGTTTCAGTGCCAGGACATTATCACTATTGTTACCTGAATAATACAGACTTCTGGATCTTTTTTCTGAGCTTATATATTTATAAATTATGTTTTATATGTTTACATTAAAAACAAAACCCTTGGGACTACTGCAAATCTTCAGGGAGACAATTCTCAGTCCCCAGCAAAGGCCAAGAAAGTTAGCTTCTTCTTTGTGTTCCTTTGCAGAGTTCCTTTGGGTGCTTTTGGTTTTTGTTTTTTTCCTGTTTTATCTTTTAACTGAAGAGTGTCTTTTTCCTTACTTTTGAGCCCAGTCATAAGTTTTAAACATTAGAAAAATTATCCATTTGCAAGTGCAAAGCCTTGAATTCAAGTCCCAGTCCCACCAAAAAAAAAAAGAAAAATTTATCCAGCTAATGAACATTAGCAGCCACCCCATTGCCCTCAATTCTCCACTCACCCCCCACCCCAGTCCACCATCTAATCTATTTTCTATATCTATATTTGCCAATTCTGGCAAATCATATGAATGGAATCATGTGGTATGTGGTCTTTTGTGGCTGACTTCACTTAGCATAATAATTTTGAAGTTTATCCATGTTGTGACATGTATTAGTGTTTCATTCCTGATTATATTGCTTTCTTGGTTCCTTGTGGTCTTCCTTGCCCCATGCCAGGTATTGAAATTTTCTTTGTACTAATCATGTTGTTCTAATGATGTTTTAGTCACAGAGAGATATGGGAAGGAGGGAATTGTGAAGTTAGTCAGTTGTACAGTTTATCTAAATAGTTCTCAATAGAGGGTGATTTTTTTATGTCCTGGGGACATTTATCAATGACTAAAGACATTTTTTGGTTGTCACAGCTGGAGGGACATTTAGTGAGTGGAAGCCAGCGATGCAGCTAAGCATCCTATAATACACAGTTCCCCAGAACTAAGAATTTTCCAATCCACAGTTTTAACAGTGTCAACATTGAGACCCAGATCAAGAAGTCCAAATAGTAATAGTGCTAAAACGATACTGGAATTGATTTTTCTTGACTGTTTCTGCTTTAAAGACATATGACATTGGAGAGTGAGTGAAGCAAACAGCAGTCACTCTTCTGCATTGAAGGGGAGGAACCAAGGGAACTGAGCACTCTATGTGTAGGTCTCAGCACTTTCAAACCAAGCCCAGGAGTAAAGCTCCTGTGGGAGGGAAGTGGCTGCAGAAATCCAGTGATCTCTTGACCTGGACTTAGACCTGTTAATCCTGGCTCGCAGCAAACCACACGTGGAAGGGAGGCAGCTCTAGCAGTCAAGCTAGACTGCATGGTCAAGCAGTCTGCTGACCATGGTCTTAGAGTTCTTGTCTGTTCAGTAATTGCAGGCCGTGGGGCTTGCTCCCGTCCACAGAGATCAGGCCACTGGCCACTGTGCCCTCAGCAGCCTGTGCTATCTATTCCTTAAATTTCTCTGCAAGTCCATGTCAGATCTGCCTCCTTTTGAGACTACTTTTGGTGGCCATCTCCCACCCAGACTCGGCAGGGGATATCCCCAGGCTCCCTGACTTGTGATTGTTCCTTGTTTACAGGTCTCCTGAGAAGCTCAGATCAAGTAGTAGGCCCATTCTCAAGATGGTGCCTAGCTGTAGCACTCAGAGATATAGGGAGTGATGCAGTGGATTTCTTCTGCAATGCCAGCCTGCCACACGGGAGGAGTCACTATCACACCAAATCTGTTCACTGAATTTAAGTCTTGGGAGACCTGCGGGTTTTTCCTGTGACTTTTGTCACAAAGACTGCATGGCTTACCTTGTGGTTAACAGCTTCAGCTCCCCTTCCTTCATGGAACCTGGGTCAGAGATGTGAATTGTTTCCTTTTTTTTTTCTCTCTGTTGCTTTTCTGTTTCTCTGTGCCTTTTAGCTGTCTGTCACCTCTCCTTGATTCCTAATGCTCTTCCTTTCTTGGAATATAGTCTCTCCCTTGTTACATTGACTCATTCACAGATTCACATGGAGTTAACTAATCCACCATCCTACCCTAAAAATATCTGGGTCTTTAAATTATATTTGAATAATCACTAAATGTTTATATGTGGTATGTACTTGAAACAGTCTTTCTTATAATCTATTTGGAGTATGAACTTTAATAGACACAAACTTGCATATCAATTAAATTGTTTTAGGTGATCTGTACCTAGAAAAATATATACAAAGCCAACTAAGGTAGTAGGAATGAAGTTATTTGTAATACCTTTAAGGCATTTTTGCTTTATTTTCCTGTTGACATAATGTCTGTCCATTTCTTTCTTTTACCTACCTTTGTCTAATGATTGTAGTTCTCCAACTCTTCTGGATTGTCTTCATGCCAGAGTAGAATTTCTACTTTTTTAGTGAAACTTGGCTTTTATGTCCCTGAAAATGCCCAAATCCTCTTTATGTGAATATTTGCATGTCTTTAAATAAATAATTTAAACCTTCTGGACCTTTACCAATATTCCTCATTCCTGCTGCTTTATTTTTATTTTTAGTACTCATCAACAAAAACACATTGTTTTCCATGTACTCTACTAAAATGTAAGCTCCTTGAGAGAAGGATTGTTTGTTCAATGCTATCCTTGTAGTGGCTATGTATGTAATGTATGGCCTCTAATAGATATTGAATAAATATTTATAGAATAATGGACAGACTTGATTTGCAAAACTTGTACCTCTTTTAGTTGCATTGTTAAAAAATTTTTTGTTATATTTTTATAGGTTTCTTATCACTTAATAGCAAATTCTTTGCTGGTTTATGTATATGTTATCTTGACCTGTCAATTAATTTGTTCCTTAATTAATCTTTTTCCATTTCTTAAATACCTTAGAGATTAATATCTGTACAGCTACGTGAATTCTGGGGGTCTGGGAGTTACATAATAAAAGCTTAATAAAAGAATTCAGTTTTTAATCCTCTGTCTCTTATACCTTATACATTTTTATTTTATTTTTATCTTTTTGGCATTACTGGGGGTTGAACTCAGGGCCTCAATCTTGCTAGGCAGGCTCTCTTCCACTTGTGCTACTCCACCAGCCCACCTTGCATATTTTAAAATATTATTTGTAAGATTAGAATAAGAGAAATAAAAGAAATTTTTGCAAAAACATAACTATAATCCTCTGAAGAACATGTAGGGAAAGCAAGTAGATTTTTAAATAATTTGCTTTTTAAATTTTTATGTAGTCTTTAACTGCCTTATTACATAGTATTACCACTTTTAGACATAAAATTAATACTTGAAAATAAAGTTTAAGGTAAAAATTTCACATTAGCTCTAATGTTTAATAACCTTCAACAATTTAAAGTTTTTCATAGTTTGAGTCAGGCACTGGTGGCTCATGCCTATAATCCTAGCTACTCAAGAGGCTGAGATGGGGAGGATCGACATTCAAGGCCTGCCTGGACAGATGGTTTGGGAGGCTTCATGTCCAAAGTAAGCAGAGCAAAATGCACTGGAGGCATGGCTCAAGCAGTAGAACACCTGTTTTACAAGTGTCAAAGAATTCAAGTCCTAGTCCCACCAAAAAAAATTTTTTTTTCATATTTTGTCTCACTTTCTACCCTTCCCAACAAAAGGCATATATAGGTAGTAAGTCAGGGTGCTAAATTTAAGCCTGGGTATTCTGATTCTCCTTCGTCACAGTGCACTATACTAGACTTTTACATTCTGTACTAGAATACCTTTTTAGACGAAGTGGAGATAAGTTTGAATTTAGCAATTTGCATTATTCGAATATAAACAAATTCACAACATAAAGATAAAATTGTGTTAACATAAGGCCATTGATGATACCATTTGGTGATAAGGGTATATGAGATTGCTTTAATCATTTTGGGAAAACTGACTTAAGATGGTAGCATGGGGAAGCATAGTAGATGGGAAGTAAAGAATTGCTAAGGAAGAAGATGCAGGAAAGAGTAGTAGATCACATTGAAGATTACAATTCACTTGGGCAGTTTTGCTTACAACAGTATACTGACATAGAATTTTGCATAGTAAATCAATAAAATTAAGTGCTTTGGAAATAGGTTTTGATTCATGTTACTAAAAAGTAAATGGTTTAAATGAGTTCTTTTTTGTCTGTGAAGTCTTTAAATAGAGTAAGATAAAGCTTTACTAAGTCATTTTCTCAGTACTTAATGAAATTTAAATCTTCTCTTTATGAGGGTAATTGAATTCGAAGGTTTTTTATTCTGACATAAGTTATCTTCATGAACTAGGGTGTAGGGTATAGCCTATGATTGCTTTTTAAAGAACACACCTATAATGATAGTTTTAATGATAATTTTGCTTTAAGGCATGAAAACTAAAAATTAGAGTAAATTACAAATTTATTCTTTATACCCTTTTAGCTGTTAAATACATGACTGTAACATTCTTCCATGACACAGCTTGCTTTTGGGGGACGGGTGGGAGTGAGGAGTAACTCTTCAGGGCTTTGTGCCTGCAAGGCAAGTGCTCTTTACCACTTGGCCACACCTCCAGCCCTTTTGCTCTGGTTGTTTGGAGATAGGGTCTCATTTTTGGCTGGCCTAAAAAACAATCCTCCTATTTTTAGCTTCCCTTCTTTGTGGAAATAACAGGTGCAGGCCACCATGCCAAGCTTTTTTCTGTTGAGGTGGGGTCTCGCAAACTTTTTTGCCTGGCCTGGCATGGAACTGTGATCCTCTTAGTCAACCTTCTGCATAGCTTGTGATGATAGGTGCACACACCTCACCTAGCTGTTGGTTTTAGTGGAGGCTCACAAACTTTTTGCCTAGGCTGGCCTCGAATCATGATCCTCCTTATCTCAGCCTCCCTAGTACCTACGTGAACCACTGGCACCCAGTTGGCTTAACTTACTTTTAACTGAAAATTCATTAGTTAAATACCCAAACTCTGTATCATTCTTTGAAGTAAGTGATTTTAGCATCCACTAACCATATACAAATGCTCTAATGGATCTAGAATTGCAACTAACTTTTAACTTTATAAATTAACTTTTCATAGTTATTTTTCGTGGTTATTTGCTTCTTTGCTATGTTAAAGCATGATCCCCAAAAAGTTGAATACTTTGAAAAACATCTCAGTAACTATTTAATGTATAAGTAGTGCTGTAGTTAGGGCAACTTGTAAAGAAACTGTTGTACTTATTTCTGTAATCTTGCAGTGATTCAATAATTTCACATATCATCTATCTATTCTTTAGTCTAATGTAGTCCATATCCTTTGTAGCATGTCATCAGTGTCAGTGGTTATAATGGCAGACATGTGTTCTTTCATTTCCTCAAGGAAAAGGTAGTGTAATCAGAAGGTGCCTAAAATGAGTAATTTTAAAACATTCTTCTTTTTCTGAATCATTCTCTGCCATCAGGATTCGTACATATACTTGTCTCTACAAGTTTGACAGTAGTCAAACCAGCTATCTTAGATTCAGGAAAGAAATAATAATTTATTGAACAAGAGCTCACTTTTGTAAAATGATCATAAAACAGGATTTTTAGTAAAATAATTGGCTTTCTTCTTTTTTTTTTAAATTACTTCCCTTAATTTAAAAATCAGTTGACATTTTTATCTCCTTCAGAAAAAAGGACATAAGAGTGTACATGCTTAATCTTTCAGTTAGGAATATTATTTAATTTTCTAGTATCAAAACATCTGATTTCCAAATAATAAATATTAGATTAGTTCAACTTAGGTGCTTTTATTTTGTGGACAATAAGTCTATTTGATATTATAATTTTTGTTACTAAATTCATTAAAGTACAGAAGACTTAAAACCTTTTATGTCTTTTCTCATTTATTTTTGAAATTATGGTACAGTGCATCCAAGACAAGAGTTGATGAGTATTGTATAGCTAGCATTGGCCATACCATAACTGTTGCTTATTATTTTACAGGAAACTTTGCAGCAATTGATTATGATGTCATTGCCAAATATCTTAATCATTGGCAAAAATCCCTTTTCTGGTAAGTATTAAAATTAGTACATGTGATACCAATGTTTCATCTTTGTGTAATTTTATATTTTTACCAAGAGCTTAATTATTTTGACATTAATTCATTAGGTTCTTCATAATTCTATAGAAATTGAAGGTTGTGTTTCAGTTTGTAGAGACAAAACAAACTCAGAATATGTGTAAGTTGTAGGTGAGACCAAACACACATTTAACACTTAATTCAGCATTTTTTTTCTCCTGTACCAAACTGATACTTTTTAATAATTATTATGATTTTTAGTGTTTCATTGTAAACAAGTATAGAGGATGATAATAGAAGGTGATGTAGTTGTAAACTGAAAAGAATATAACTTAGAAAAGAAATGATTTTGAAATATTTTCAGTTTTGTATTCATATATCTACCATCTCCTAATGTCAGAATTGTTGGAAGGGTATTTGGTTTTGTTTTTGTTTTCTTGAACCTAGGGCTTCATGCATGCTAGGCAAGCACTTTACCACTGAGCTATACTTCTACCCCTGAAACTAATATTTTACTGGTCATATGTTATTTATTTGGTGCTGGGGATTTTTTTGAATCCAGGACCTCACACAAGCTAAGCATACACTACCACTGAGATATACTCCTAGATCCCAAGTTTTAATTTTTAAACAGTTAAGGAAACTGGCAGCTGTCTAACCATTTGAACAAAAGACTTAATCCTTATAGGCTATATGATAGCCAAATCAAATATATCTTCATCTCCTCCATCCTTACCCTAGTCTCACAAACAAACATAGAACCAAAATAAGATTGAACACTTGTTTTTTGTTTTTTGTTTTTAGAGAAAACTATCAATTAGATGGAAATAGAAATAGTTATCCAGGCGCTGGTGGTTCACGCCTGTAACCCTAGCTACTCAGGAGGCAGAGATCAGGAGGATCACAGTTTGAAGCCAGTCCTGGCAAATAATTTGTGAGATCCTGTCTCAAAAAAACCCATCACAAAGAAAAGGGCTGGTGGAGTGGCTCAAGTGGTAAGAGCATATGTCTAGCAAGCGAGAGATCCTGAGTTCAAACCCCAATACCTCCAAAAAGAAAAAATAGTTAATGATAGCTATGATTTATTGAATGTCTATTTTGTATCAGGTATTACACTTTACATAGTATCTTTTCTCAGATAAAAAGATTGGCCTTTAGGGAGAGAGATATTTATTATCTAAATGAAGATATTTAAGAGTCAGAAAAGATACTGATAATAATTCAGATGGAATTTTATATATCTGAGACAAATTGAGATAGTCACTCTAGATTTAGGTTCTATTGCTAATGGGCCAAAGAACTGAGATTCAAGTCTGGTCTTCCAAACTTATTATAGTATGTTGACTTTTGATTTATTTAGTGAATTCAATTAGTACTTCAGTTAAGTGAATTTGGAGTTTATGTAGTATTTACAAATACTGCAGGATGTTTAATTATACAAATAAATAAAGGCAAGAATTTTCTATGTAGAATAGAAATATTTTCAATTCCATGTACATTTAATACATGCCTACCATTTTATAGGGATCAGGAATGTAAAGAAATCATCCATGCTCTAGAGGATCTTCTGGCTTGTTGAGAGACACATAGATTACTGGGAAATCATGTAATAACTAGTTTGAAATATAGATATGTATAAAGTATGAAGCCTTATAAGCTATGGAGCCATTCATTTTTCTTAAAGTTGACAAATTACTGAGTTTGGGGCCATTGCTGATTGGATCTGGGAAGACCACACAGAGATTAAATTAGAGCTGTGCCTGGAATGATGAGTAGGGGAAGAAAGGCAGAGAGAATAGCCAAAGTTAAGGTTAAGTTAAGGTGGAATGATGATTAACCTGGCTCACTGTGTCTAGAAAATAGGTTGTTTCATGGGAAGTAGGAAGAAATGTCTTAGGAAGATTTAGACTTTATCATAAGTTAACCTGAAAGTGAAAATCTGTATAGTTAGTTGAATAGTTTAAGAAAATCTCAATTGAATGATCTTGGACAGGGATGTTCTCTCCATTTCTGTTATAGTTTTTATCTACATTTTATATACATGTATTTTAGTAGCCTCACTGTAACAGACATTTAAGAATCTGATCCTTATAAGCCTATTTAAAAATTGAAGATAGATGAATCACAATGTTTAGTAAGAAAACATTACAAGGAGCCAGACCTATCAGGAGCCATACTGACTGACTTTGGGTCATGTCCCCAAATCAGTATGATTTAGTAGGCTGGGGTAATATAATTTATAGAAGAGGAGTATATTCATAGCGCACTTCTGCATGAAGCCTTGAGTCATATTTTTCCATATTTAATTCTGTCAAATTTGAGATGATTTCTTCTTCTGTTATCACATTATACATACATAGAGCTGCCTGTTTGAATTCTCCACTGTATTTATAGAATTCTTTCTTTGGATAAGTTATTGTGAATATTACCTCTAGAATTAATTCTCCAAATGTGAGAAAGAGAATTGAAATAGAGCTAAATGTTGTACTTAGTAATTGTTTATATTTCAGAACAAGGGACAGAAGAAGTTAAAAAGCTGCTTTTACTCTTACTGGGTTGTGCAGTTCAGGTAAGTTAAAATATTTCTTTCGTGTTTCTCATTTTAATACCCTATTTTTTTCATGCTCTAGTTTCTGAAAGACTTAAGAGTGAACCATTGGTTTTCAAAGTCTGTGTTAGAAAACATTAAGTATCTATATAACCTCATAAGGAGATTGTGTTGAAGAAAAATATTTTTTATTTCAAAATTTAGTAATATCATTATGTTATATAATTTAAAAATCTTCATTTTTTTTCTTTTTTTTTATGTTGAGTCTTCCAATGGTCCTGAGTTTTTTAAGTCTCTTCAGAGGTATTTTTAAAAACCCCTTCCCAAAATTTCTTAGGATTTATATTTGTATGTGTTTATGTTTTAGGGAAGGGGAATTAACAATAAAAGGGGGTAGAATTTGTGAAAAATATTTTAGGAGTCTGGATTATTTTTATATTGCCCCTTGACCAATGATTATATGGATGAGTGATGACAATATTAAGCTATCTGAATTCATTGTGGAATGAGGTTACTTGTAAACAAATAATGAAACCACTGATAATATTTTACTTTCCTATACCTAAAATTATATATCACAGATTGTGTTTATAACTTATTGCCTGGGAGAAATATTGTTTTTGTTATTGTGTTATTGGCACATAGTAATCGTACATATTTATATGGTACAGTGTGACATTTCAGCACATGTGAACAGTGCGCAATGATGAGATGAGGATGCTTGGCACATCTATCGCTTCAAGACATTTGTTACATTTTTGTGTTGGGAGCGTTTAAAATCCCTTCTACTGGCTATTTTGAAATACTCAATTAATTTTGTATACCATAGTTATCCTGCTGTACCATATAGAACATTAAAAGTTATTTCTCTTATCCAGCTACACTCCTTTAACCCTATCGCCTTTCAAATTCTCCTCTATGTTCCTCTTCCAAACCCCCTCCTAGGCTCCAATAACTATGATGAAAGCTATATCCTTGTACAACTTGTGTTATTAAAGTTCCATGCTATGTAATGTACAAGTGTTTACTTCAAACCATTAACCAAAACCATCATTATTACCATCTTTAAGACCAACAAAAAAGAATATAGAATCTGAGCCACATCCTCTTAGCTTTTTTTTTTGTGACTCCCATGGCAGTATTCCAGATGCTACAAAATAAAAAGGGTTGCGTGAACCAGTGTTCCTTTTTCTAACAAACTGAAGTTTTTGATAAGTTAACTAACTCAGCCTCTTCTATTTCTACCAGTGTTTTCAAAAATTTTTACCAAGAATTTTTTATGTTTCAATGACTGTTGATATTCATGTTTTAAAATAACTTCTGTCATTTTACTGTACTAGTGAAATAAAGCAGAGCTATATAATGTATTTATTTTTCTTAAAACCACTTAATGAAGCATTGCTCAGAAAGCTAGTACCATAACATTAGTTATGTAAATTCCTTCTTATTAATACACAGAACTAAATGCTGCATAAAGAAAAAAAAACATATAAACAAACCTTACTTTGTGAGGAACATACCTTCTAAAATAGCTTATATTAATATTACATGGATAATAATAATGTTTTCTTTCTTTTTTGAGGTTGGGGGTGGAGGCCTCCTAATCTTTATGTGCCTTAGAATTGATGAAAAACTACAGGAGTTGTACCTGAGATTCTTAATATAAATTAACATATATAACATATGTAACTATAAAAACAAAATAGTGCAAATTATTTGGAAATAAGAAATATTTCTCATGCTTCCAATCCAGTACCCTGTCCGTGCCTTTGCATTGTCTTCATTGCTTTTCCATAGGTAGCTTCTTACATTTCTGTCATCATTTTAACTCTTACATTCCAGGGGGAAAACATCCTGGTCTTCATATCCCACCCCTTCCAGCTCTGTGGAATCTGTCTTTCCAGGGGTTAATGAGACAAAAACTGTAATGGAGATCACCAGTTGACATCTGTATGGCGATGCCCTCTTTCCTTTGGCCATTCGCCTACCCATTCTTCCTAAACCACGCTCCCACACCTTGAATTGGTCATGGCCTCTTCTCTTTGTGGATTATCATCCAGGGTGCTTCTCCCCTTTCTAGATCAAGAATTCTGTTGGCTAAAATGATCACCTTTTGCCAAATATCCATGTTAGCTTTGACCTTCTGAATATACTAGACATTGTTGGACATTAATTATTAAATTGATTTTATCCTAGTCCAACGAATTGTTTACCATAATGCTGGAAGATGCTGGGTGGTGAAAGATGGTGGTCAGCAGGCAATATTGTGGGATATCTTTTTGAGAGTATTCAGGGAATTGGGCAGTGTATTTTGTAGTGGACTATTTATTTTTTTTTGCCTGCTCAGTATCCATTCTTTCTCTCTTTTTTAATAAAAGCATTCAAATCTTCCTTTAGGAATCATCTTGTCCTCTTCACTTAGTCCACATAATTTGGGTAAAGCTGATTATTGTCAAACTAGGGATGAGAACAGGACCTGTATATGGTAAATGAGAAAACTGTTCCACAGTGGGAAACAGTGTGTAAGGAGGACTTTGGGAACATCGTGAGCCAGGCTTTGCTTGCTTGAGTCCACCCATCCACCCTTGTAGATTACTTCGAGTAGCACCTTGGCATAGTTTCTGCCAAGGTCCTGGAAGCATTGTTCCCCGGCTGTGGAGTTGGAAGCCAGTTCAGCACTGACGAAGGTGCTGTTGGTGCTGTTGTCTCAACAACCAGTGACAACCCTAAGCCCAGAGACTTCCCAGAATTGACTCCTTTCATGTGGTCCATGTAAATACAGGTATTGAGTATGAACTTGTTGAGGATGTTCCTTGCAGAATGCACAGTCTGGTTTGCCAACTGAGGTAATATGCTTACAGACTATACCATTCCTCTGATATGTTTGATTTTTCTTGTTCTTTGGGCTGAGTGGCTTCAGGACCTTCCTCACAGAAAATGAGAAAACTACTTCATTCCTCCTCGAGGAGGCATTTCTTGTTGCACAATCTTTAGTTCAATCCCGGACTTTTTTTTTTTTTTTTAATGGCACTGGGGTTGAGCTTAGGGCCTCAGGCTTCATAGGCAGGTGCTCTACCACTTGAGCCACTGAGCCACTCCACCAGCCCCTTTTTGTTCTGGGTCGGGACTGTTTCAATAGAAGGAGTGCTGGTTGTTGCCTTAAGAATATCAACCAAAGGGTCAGCTTGGTCACTGGACTCTCCTCACAGAACTATTTTTATCAGGTGTTTCATAAATAGAACCAGGCAAAGAAAAACCTCCAGGTAATTGCCAGTGCTGGAAAGGATGCTACCATGATGATCCACAGGTTCACTATTCTAGAGGACAGGTTGATAATTAAGGTATTTCCTTAAAACAGAGGAAAAACAGGTAGGTGCATCGCAAGGGGAAAATCTGACAGGGGGCACCCAAAGAAGTTAAAAATGCTGTTCATGGAGAGCCTGTACTTCACCTCAAAAACTGATTTACTACTGTTAAGCCTGTTTTGTTTATTCCAATTTGAGAACCATTAGATATCTTGTTCAATAGCCTTATGAAGCTAGCCTCAAAATCTTGGAGGCCTGGGTTGTGGTCTCCAGCCTGAATATTTCAGCTTTTGACCAAGCATTGGCTCAGTGTGGGCAGGTCCAGATGCACACACCTGAGTAGCTGAAGGAGCACACCTGGTGCCATGTGTGTGCCCTCTGCAGAATCCTGGGTGACTTCAGATAGGGATGTGGGCAGCATGACTTGTTGGGCTTGGCTTGCCTCTCTCAACTTCAGCACATCCAAGTGGTTTAGAATAGCAATGAGGTTTTCTAGTGATGTTAAGTAGTATTAATTTTTTTCTACAGATAATATGTTTACCTGTGTGTAAATTCATATAATCTGGAAAGAGATTCACATAAATCTGGAGATTATTTCAAATAGTCATTGGAAAGGAGAGGAAGAATATTTGGGTGGACTAAGGTAGAAGACACAGAATGGGAAAATTGTATAAAAGGATAATTGTAAATATATATGGATGTGACATTGTGAAGTAAGCAGGAAAATAAAAGTGGTTTTGAGATGTTTAGAAAGAATGAAGAAGTGAGGAGGGAAATTTTAAGGTGGAAGGGAGGAATTTATCAACTTTATTATTGTTTTGGTGGTATTGGGATTTGAACCCAGTGCCTTGTGCTTGCTAGGCAGACATTCTACCATTGGGCCATTCCCCTAACCCTTTTTGCTTAAGTATTTTTCAAGTAGTGTCTCTCATTTATGCCTGAGTTGGCCTGGACTGCAATTTTTTTATTTACACTTACTGCCTAGCTGGGATCACAGGAGTATAATGCCATACCCAGCTTTTTTTTTGTTGTTTTATGGGTTGAGATGGGGTCTCACAGACTTTTTGCCCAGATTGGCCTGGAACCACTATTCTCCTGATAGCTGCCTCCTGAGTAGCTAGGATTACAAACATGAGCTACTGCATCTAGCTAACTTCGTTATTTTATTTTTTTTTAAACTGAGTAGGTCAGAGAGACAATAAACAAAATGTGACAGGGTAAGTTTAGGGAAGTTTGTCTAGACTCAGTGGAGGTAATCTATGCTATGTTTGGAAGATGTCCAGGACACAGTAGTAAATTTATTTGAGAATAAATAAATACGAGCAAATTTGTTTTTTTCATATTAAAAGAGAGGACACATTTTTTCAACTTAAACCAAAGACTCAGGGAGACCATTGTCCTAAACTGTGTCAACATTATTCAGAATTTTTATAGATAAGCACTCTGCCACTTGAACCACACCACCAACCCTTTTTGCTTTAGTTTTTCAGTTAGGGTCTTGCACTTTTGCCCAGACTAACCTCCTCAAACCACGATCCTCATACTTTCACCTCCCAAATAATTAGAATTACAGGTATGTGCCACCATGCCCACCCCAAAGTTTTTATGTAAAAGTGGAAATGAAAGGTGGTCAGGCCCTAGTCCTTGATGTGATACGAACTTATCAAGAAACTTGGAAATCAGACTTTGTATGTACTTTATGAGTTGTCTAAGGCCAGTTCTTGGGAATTTTCATTATTCCCAAGATCTGGCCATAGTTAGGATTCTCCCGTATCTTTTTCAGTGGTAACACAAGTCTCCTGTATCAGTTCTGAGCATCACCTAAAATCTTCACAGATGTATGGTTCTTTATTCTAGTACCAATGTAGTTGAAAGATTCACAACTAAGGTCATTATAGACAGGGAAACATTTTTTTGCAGGGTTTGTTTGAAAATTTCTTTGTTCTAAAACCATAAAAATTTTGCCCCTCTTCAGCAGAACTTAGATTTTATATTGGTGCTGTCTGGTATCCAGAAATATTATTTATTTTGGAGTTTGGCCAAGTTGGGCCAAATGTGCTGAAAGTGACAAGTGTGGTTGAAGTTAAAATTTTGACCTTTACACATGTTCACAGAGGCATTTCTAAGTTTAGTGCTTGATTCTGAAAACCAGTTTTCAGTTTGTTCAGTTTGAGAGCTACAATCTACCCACAGTTACCTGTACCCTGTTATCAGTTATCTGTAAAGCATCTTAGAAGTTAGTAAGTTAGCACTTTAATTATTCTATTACATTTTGGCAAATAAACTAATTTCTGGCTGAGGTATTTCTTTTCTGGGAATGAATAAAATAAAAAATTTAAAGGGATTTTGTTTTTGCTGAGATTGTTTTTATTTTAGTTTTTTAGTTGTGATAAAATGTAATAAAATTTAACATTTAGCCATTTTTAAGTATGTAATTCACTGGTATTCATACTGTTATGCTTTCACATTTTTGTGTAATCATCATGACCATCCATCTCTGGAACTTTACTTATTTTCTGAAATAGAAACCTCTGTAGATATTAAACAAGAACTTAACATCTCTTTTCACCCAGTCCTTGGCAACCACCATTTTACTTTGTCTTTGTTAATTTGGCTACTCTTAGGTAACTCAGTTAATGGAATCATATAGTATGTACAATTGGCTTCTTTTGTTAGGAAGACCCATCCATGTTGTCACAATGGTGGCTTTTAAGGGTGAATGATACCTGTTGTATTTGCATACCACTTTTTGTTCATGTGTCAGTGGATACTTGGGTTACTTTCATTTTTTGGCTATTATAAATAATGCTTCTGTGAACATAGGTGTTCAAATACCTGTTTAGTAGACACTAAAATTTCAGTTTCTCAGTTATTTTAGCTACATTTCAGGTACTCGGTAGCCACATTTAGCTAGTGATTACTCTATTGGACAGTGCTAAAATAGAACATTTGGTCTGATTATCTGACCTCAAAGTTTTAATTTTCTTTTACTCTCTTTACCATCTTTGCATTCTTTTTCTTTTATGTCCTTCAAGATCCTATGAAATTCATCCTGGATTCTAAGAAAGCCTAGCCTGTTTATAAAACATTTTCAGAATTCTAGACTTTGAATTAAGGTGAGACTCAGTAGAAGTTCTGTATATTTTAAGGGTAAAGGAAGAATTCTTACTGCTATGTGCTAAGAATATGCTAAAGGGTTAGTTCTTAAAGTCAGTATGAATAAAGATAGAGTGGTTTTCAGACTTAGAAAAGGGAAGTATATCTGTTCCATTTAAAAGCAGAAAAACGGACAAATGCATTGAAGATTTCTTTAGTAAGCTTTTACATATTACCTTTCACAGTACCCTGCTATTCTATTTGATTGACTCAGAATCTATGTGTAAGTCAAAAATTATAGCAGTGTTAAATTTAAAAATTGGCGTTAACTATCCTTGAAAAGTTAATTCATATATGCTAGTAGTGTATAATTTGAAAGTAATTATTAATTGTTCTCACAAGGCCTGTCAGATATTTACTAGACAAAAGTTAGTGTTTTTAAATCCACTGATTTCCATTCCATTCCATTCTCCCCAAAACTCTGATTTCCTGTTCACAACTAAGAATTGTGCATTCCTGGTGATTTAGTTTTAAACATTGTTATATCATCATAGTAATTTTGTTTTTACAGCATGTAGAACTTTGTGCACTGGATGGAATGTTTAAATTGGATAACAGCAGAAATAGAGTATTATAATTTGATAAAGAAACATGTAGAATATAAATCAGACCTTATTTTCTTAATGATCAAAGAGGCAGTTTTTCTTTTTGTGGGTTTGTTGTCTTCACTGGTAGTTCAATAATTAGCCCAGGAGATGCATCTAAGCTCAACAAGGCAGTGTTGTCTATTTTGTATGCACTTCTCATTTGGTAGCTGCAAGAATACAGTTGTACTAGCAGTTGGGTTGCAATATAAGAGATGTAGATAGAGTCAGAAATTAAGATGTGTATAAAATTATTACTTAATATTTTCTGGAAGGAAAAAGATTCATTTAAATTTATATAAAGCTTTTAAAAGTTCACAATAAAGAATTGTCGCCTTTATTCCATTTAGTTACATGTATATTTACATATACTCTTAAATTTTGCCCTGGGTAACTTTATATTAGAAACAACCCAAATATTGTATTACCTTATAAATACTAAACTAGACCATAAAAGTGAGTTTCTTTTATTACGATTAGTAGGATGAAGCTGTGAGAATGAATTGTAAGCTTGAAGTAAAAATTGCTTAAATTTTTTTTTTCCTCAAAAAGAAAGGCTGTGTTGTTTGGTGATAGCCAGGGACTGACTGAGCATTTTGGCTGTATTCCGAATTCTGCCACTGACTCACTGTGTTTTTTGGCAAGTAACTTATTCTCCCTGAAACAAGTTCTTGATTCTTTACTTCTGTTTGTAAAGTTAGCATAATAATATTGTACAGACCTCACATGGGCTGTGTAATGTTTTCCCACTTTAGAACTTTCCAGCATAAAAATAGTATACATTTTCATTGCTTTGCTTTTTAAGATAAATATTTCTAAATCATAATTTCTTTATTAGGTAAGTATATTAGATAGGTAATTTAAATGTAAATCACAACCTTACTGTACTATTAAAAACATAACTAATCCTGATGAGTTTTTAGTTATATACAACATTTCAAGGATAATATTCTACAAATATGAATGATATTTTTCATTTGTTTTAGTGTCAGAAAAAAGAAGAATTTATTGAAAGAATTCAAGGATTAGATTTTGATACAAAAGCAGCAGTTGCTGCACATATTCAAGAGGTAATGACCTGTGTAAATTTTATGTTCTTTTTATGAAGTTTGTAGTATGTTTACTTATATATCTCCCCAAATATTTCACAGGATAAAAAAATATAAACGAACCCTACTTTTATACTTTTCTCTTTAGAGGTAGTACCTTAAGTGTATCATTGCACAGTGCCTAACTATAAATTTACTGTTGCCTTTATCTGTTAGGATATAGGGACAGTGTTATTTGGGGAATGAAGTATATATCTTTATTAGACAGCACACGCAGAATGAATCATAGTAAATGGAAGCAGTAGAAAATGCAAGACTGATTGTAATTCTAACCTTCCTGTAGAGAGGCGAGATGATAGGCTGAGCATTATGTCATTCCTGCAATTTTCTCTTAAATGAATGGACATGAAATTCTTATCAAAGATACTACTTGAATTATAAATACATGATGATTGTTAATATTTGTATAAAAACTTTAGGGCATAATGTGCAGTGTCAAATAATTGACATTAATTACTGGGGTTTGAATTAAGGACCTTATGCTTGCTAAGCAGGGGCTCTACCACTTGAGCCACACACCCACAGCCCTTTTTGCTTTAGTTATTTTTCAGTAGGGTATCACATTTGTGCCTGGTTCAGCCTCAGACTGCAGTCCTCCTGCCTACTGCCTCCCATGTAGCTGGAGTCATAGGTGCCTTCCTCCATGCCCACCTTAGTGATTGAGATGTGTTCTTGATAATTTTTTTGTCCAGCCTTAACAGTTTTTTAGTCAGGGTTACGGGTATGAGCCACCATGCCTCGACCTATTAAGATTTATTTTAAAAGCTACTAGGGGCTGGCAGAGTAGCTCAAGTGATAGAGTGCCTGCCTAGCAAGTAGGAGGCCCTGAGTTCAAACCCCAACACCACCAAGAAAAAAAAAAATTGGGGGTCGGGGTGTAGCTCAGGTGGTAGAGCACCTGCCTAGCAAGTGCAAGGTCCTGAGTTCAAACTCTAGTACCACCAACCAACCAATAAATAAATAAATAAATAAATAAAAGCTGCTATATCTGCACCTATATACTTTTGAACTTTTAAACTTATACAAACTTTTAGAATTACAACTTTACATGTTAAAGTTTACAACTTTAGAATATTCAACTTTACATGTTAATTAGAAAAGGGAAAGGAGAGAGAAGGGGAGAATTTTACTTAGTGAAAATTAGTCGTGTTTAAAATGTTCTGTTGAGATGACTTCGTATTCCATATATCATCTTTTCTCTTAGTTAACTTTAATGGAGCCCATATTTCTTTTCTGTAATATTGTTTTCAATAGTAAGCATATTAGTATTTTGTAAGATAGTTTTATTGATAGTCTCTTTATATATGTATGTTTTTGCTAGCTTTGTGGTTTTATTTTGTTTTGTATTACAAGTTGCTCAATTTGCCTCCATCCTTGAAAATGTTATTTTTGCTAGTTGTTGTGAAAGTTAAAGCAAAATACCAGAATCATGGAAAGAAATGGAAATAAGCAAGAAATGTTTTTTATTTGTTATCTTTTCATTATTTTAAAAATCTTTACACTGAGGGTCCTTTCTCCTAAGGTTCTGTGAACCTCATTTTTAGAATCTACAAAGACTTAGCTATTCAGATATAAAAAGGCAGTATCATATATGCTACAGATTAAAAATCTTTTGTTTTTTAATTCAGGTGCAGTGAATTTAAAGTCTTAGCTAAGTAAAAGTTCTATTGATTTTGTTAAATTAGTTGTCTGATATGTCAGTATTACTTTCCTATTGGAATGCTTCAAATTAAATAATTTATTTTTGTTGACTAGAAAATTAATACCAATTCACTTGAAGATAATATTAGTTAAAATATATTTTAATTGTGTTTTCATCATTAGTTTCAAATGTTCTGTAGACATGTTGGTGGCTTTCATTAAGTGAGGTATATACTAGATAAGCTAATATTGTACTAAAGTCAAATCAGTATTTAAGTAGTAGCTTTTTTAAAATTTGTGTTGCTTGCCTTTCTAAAGATAACCCATAATCAGGAAAATGTGTTTGATCTGCAATGGATGGAAGTGACAGATATGTCTCAGGAGGATATGGAACCACTTTTGAAAACTATGGCATTGCATCTAAAAAGACTTATAGATGAGAGAGATGAACATTCAGAGGTTTGTGAATTTCTTTCATTATGTTACTGAACATAATGCTTTCTAACAAAAGAAAGGAACTTCAGAAGTTTTCTAGAATTGATACCCTGTTTCTTATGGATAGGTAATTAAGTATAGTCATCCCTTGTTTTCAGTGAGGAATGAGTTCTAGGACCCCCTAAAGATACCAACATCCATGAATAGTCAAGTCTCTTACGTAAGTGGTGCATTGCTTGCATATAACCTACACACAACCCACAAAAATCTTCCTTTATGTTTTAATTCATTCTAGATTACCTATAATAATACATTGTAAATGGTAAGTACATAGTTGTTGGTACTGTATTGTTTAGTTAACAGTGACAAGAAAAAGGCTGTACATGTTTAGTGTAAACACAGTTTTTTCCCTGAATATTTTCCATGTACAGTTGGTTGAATCTGTGGGTATGGAATCCACATGGAAGGCCAACTGCTTTGTGTGTGTGTGTGTGTGTGTGTGTGTGTATGGAACACAGGAACCAAAATGAAATATAAGAAAAACCCAAATTGCTAGTAAACAAATTAAAATTTGGTTTTCTTTTCTTTCCTTTTAAATTAGTATTATTTTGATTTTGTTAACTGTATGTTTTTCAGCTTATTCCCACAGCTCTGGCAATAGTACAGAGTGTGAAACTGAAAATATAGTTGATGTAAGTGGAAAAATCATTGCCTTAAAGCATAAGAATTTGCTTAAGGTTTATTTTGTAGTTTTATTGCCACAATTTGAAGTTGGAAAAATAAGTAATAAATAAAAGGACAATAACAGGTGTTATGAATAAAGAGTCCCACAGAGAGCTTAATTTTTTGTAGTTAATATGAGGTGTGATTTATTATAAGCTTCTTTAAAATAGAACTTTGCTCTTTAGAAAGAGTAAAATTGCACTGCATTTTTTGTCTGTACTGAAAGCAGTGTATAATTTTAGAGCAGTCTAGACTTTATTGCATGCAGTATTGAATAATATTTTCTTAATAGCAGACCATTTAGGAGAAAGTATAGCTTTAACTAGCTGTTCCACTTACATGTGAGAGTTTTTGAGCTTATGTATAGAGAATTTGTATGATTGTTCTTGGGATAACTGAAAGACTATGTTGAGGAAATTCCTGAAGATCTTTGTTTTGTTTTGTTTTGTTTTGTTTTCCAGTATAGGGGTTTGAACTCAGGACCTTGCTCCCTTGCTAGGCAAACACTCTACCATTTGAGCCATGCCACCAGCTGTTTTCTGCTTTAGTTATTTTTCACATAGGGTCTCATATTTATGCTTGGGCTGACCTGGACCACTGTTGTCCAACTTGTACTTCCCTCATAGCTGGGATGACAGGCGTGTACCACCGTGTCCAGCTCTTTATTGGTTGAGAGGTGGTCTCTTGTACTTTTTACCGTGGTGGCTGCCTTTAAACCAAGACCCTCCCAATCTTCATCTTCAGTAGCTAGAATTGTAGGCATGAGCTACTGCACTCAGCCTTAAGATTTTTTTTTTTCTCTGAACAAAACTCATATCTCTATAGGGTATTTTCAGTTCTGATGGGAATTTTCAATTTTTGTTCAGACATTTTAAAAGAAAAGAAAATGCAGGAAATACATTAAGGAAAATTTTAGAGCGCCAATTAAATTTTTAAAAAATTTGAGACCAAAGGAAGATGAATCAAAAAGTACCCCAAATATGTATCAAACTTGTCCTAGGATACTTAAATCATTTAATTTTTAATCTGATTTTTGAAGATATGCTGTATCTTTACTTGGTTTTAATGTCTTTTTACTGCATGGTCCACTGTCTAGAATGTTCTTCCATTTGTATTTCAAATGGAATTTTTAAAGGTATTCAACAAAGTTCTCTAGCATCTGAGAAATCACTTCTAAAAGTCTAACTGACTGATGGTCATGTGTAAATTGCTTTATCTCATTTATATGAAGTGATTGAGGCCCCAAGTTCAAACTCCAGTACCACCAAAAAAAATTATATGAGAAATATTACACATATTTAAAGATAGTTTATAAATGTAATAATTCTGTATCATTCAATTAGGCTAAAACAAGTTCTTATTTAGATTTCCCCCTTAAGTTTTCTTTCTGTTTTGACTAATCTTATGTTACAGTTGTTTTGTGTTAGCCTAAAAAAGTATGTATTTTGTCTCCCTGCTTTTAATTTCTCTTCACTTTTTTATTCTTAATGCTATGGACCAAATAGAGCATCACAGCCCTTCTTTTAACTAAACACCAGATAGAAGATTTTCATAGAGTTGAAATTCATTAAAATTAAAACTTTAAAATTCACAAATCTCCTTTTTTAAAAAAATTTTTATTCATTTATTCACATGTGCATACTTTGTTTGGGCCATTTCTCCCCCTGCCCCCTTGCTCTCCCCTCCACCCTCTCTCACTTCCAGGCAGAACCTGTTCTGCTCTTATCTGTAATTTTATTGAAGACAAGACATAAGCAATAATATGAAAGACAAAGCGTTTTTGCTAGTGAGATAAGGATAACTATACAGAGAGATTCCTAGCATTGCTTCCACGTACAAATGTGTTACAACCCAAGTTGATTCATCTCTACCTGACCTTCTTGTTGTCACTGTTTATTTTAAGCCAGACTTTGTGCTGCAAGCTTAGCATATTCCATCTTACTAAATTTGCACAATAATCACATTTATATATGAATATATAAGTACTTTAGGAATTTAAAGAAGGAATATTTACTTGCAATTGATAATTGGAAGAATCAAGAAAGACTTATGCTTATGCTTTAATGATATTTCCTGTCAGATTTTGAAACAGGAAATGTTAAGAAGCCTTAAATTTACAAAATTACTACCACTGAAGTCAAAATGTCTAAATAACCTTTAATGGATAATTCATCTATGTACTCTTAACTCTTAGCATCAAGTTTCTCTCTCTCTTTTTCTTCTAAAAAATATTTTACAGCCCACAGTTTTTTTGTGCTCTGTTCACTGATGTCCAGAAGCTCTTGATGTCTTCATTTCACCACCTGCTAAGTTTAGATGTACTGTCTTTTGTACTTTTTTAAAGTTCCCCATTTTGCATATTACTTAGTTGAATGTTATTTTTTTAGCATCCCTTATTATGCATAGTACTATGCTAGACAAGAGAATAAGAGATGCGAAGGTGGTGTAAGGAAGATTTATCTGGTTTATTGACAAAAACTACATTATTTATAAGTGAAAAATATGAAGTGCTAATTTGTGCATGAATCAAGTATTTATTAAATACTTACTATATAGCAGGTACTGTTGTTGCAGTCAGGGAATGTTAGAGAACAAGATTAAAGATAATTGGAACAGTAAGAAAATAGGGAGATTAATGACACTTTTCTAAAGAGGGAATTGGGATGGGGATACTTGGTAGGTAGACAGGGTAAAAAAAATGGTGTTAATGGACATGTAAACACCCCTTCAAAAGCAGCAAGAAAGAAATATGTTTTTTCTTTTTATTAGATAGTAGAAAATTGCACACATATCTTTGGAGAACAAGGAGACAAAAGTCAATAGGAAGAAGGAAATTGAAAATGTTTTAAGTGAAGAATATATGTTGGTTTGAAAAATGCATAAAAATGGAGGTGGTTTTGTTTCTTGGGTAGAAGTCATTTGTTGGACATGATAGCAGTTTGTAGTTGGAAGCTTAAGTAGAGAAATATATATGTTATGTAGGTTGCATATATATAATATATATGCAGGGGTTTTGGTCAGTACTGGAGTTTGAACTTAGTCACACTTGTTATGTGACTTTGGTTAAGTTAATCTATATGAGCCTCAGTTTCCTCATGTCTAAAATAGACATAATATCTCTGTTGAGCTTATAGACTGGATGAGATCTTGTTGGACAACCCCCTGGCTAGGAATTCTATAAATATAAAAAAAGAGAGCCTATTGTCAGACAGTGACTTAGTGCCATAAAAATGAAAAGTATGAGTGACATTTAAGGACCTAATTGTTGTTTCAGAATAAATAGGAATTATAGAGTAGTTAAAAATAATATTTCTTGGCAAGAAGGGAATTGAGTGTTGAGTGAGACCTTGATACAGATACCAGGTTGTATCTAAAAGCTAAAAAAATTAATTCTAGTGGATGTTTAAAGCAAACAAGCAGAAAACCAAGTAATGACACTAGTGGCTCATGTCTGTAATCCTAGCTACTTGGGAGGCTAAGATCTGGAGGATCTCAGTTCAAGGCCAGCCTGGGCAAATAGTTAATGAGAGTCTGTCTCCAAAATAACCAGAGAAAAATGGGCTGATAGTGTGGCAGAAGTGGTAGAATGCCTGCTTTGCAAGCACCTGAGTTCAAACCCTACTACTACCAAAAAAAAAAAGTAATTCAGTGAGGGTGGATAGGACTTGGTGATGAGAAATAAGGATGAAGACTTCATGCCTGAAGTTAGTAACCCTCCCAATTCTGTCTGCAGTAGTAGGACAGTTGAAATTGCTTGGGAAGATAATTTCTGTTTGAGGAATTTGAAAGAAAAGCTGAGAAGTTGATTCAGAATAAGAATTTATCAGTAAAAAGAAAATTAGGAGAAGGGAGGAATATGATTGTGTTGGGTACATATGAGTTAAATGGACCTTACTGTTCAGATTTAGGAAAAGCAAGAAGCGGCCTCTTGGGAATGGCTTCTGGAGAAAGGAATAAAAGATGCTTTGATACAGAAAATAGATTAGAAGTAGTACAGTATTGTGGGAGAGAGACTATAAGATAGGAAGTTGAGCTCAGCATTGCTGTTAGCTAATTGCATAATCATAGGAATATCAGTATCATTGCCTCAGTTACCTTATTTCCAGAAAAAAGATTAAACTAAACCTCTGAGGTCTTATTAGTTCTGCTAGAGATTTGTCCTTTAAGAGGTGTAATATTCTAGAACAGTATTGTTTAATCCTGCTGTTGCGGCTAGATTGCATTTCTGGGCTCTCCAGTATACTAGCCATTAGCCACATGTCGCTGTTGTGTACTTGAAATATGGCTAATATGACTATAAAGAATTGAGTTTTTAACTTAACTTTTTAATTAAATAGACACTTGTGCTACTGGCTATTGGACAATCTAGTTCTAGACAAACAACTCTTGGGTTTATTTTCTTTTCTTTGTCAACAAATCTTTTATGCCTTTCCAATAGTTGCTGTGTAATCTGTTTTTTTTCTCATAATTGATTTCTTTTGATAAAAACTAGGAAGGGGAGAACATATGAAGTTTTATTCTAGTGCTAGCCACCCAGTAGCTCAAAAATGAACTGTTGAATGAAATTTTTAACATAGCAGCTAAATGTGACAAAGTTAGGATGATTTTTGATGTTGTTTTTAACATTGTAGTATAATACTTAGATGCAGTGAATAGTGTTGGTATGTTTAGTTTGCTGATAATGTAGAACACTAAAAGTGATTTTGTGCTTATTTCTGTAATTTTTAGACTATCATAGAGCTCTCTGAAGAGCGGGATGGTCTTCATTTTCTACCCCATGCCTCTTCATCTGCCCAATCACCCTGTGGTTCTCCAGGCATGAAACGAACAGAAAGTCGACAGCATCTGTCAGTGGAATTGGCAGATGCAAAGGCCAAGATAAGAAGGCTTAGGCAGGAACTGTAAGTTACTGATTTTCAAGGTTCATTGAATTTATGTCATCACAAAGGTGACCTAAGTGGTATTTTTAGGCTTAAGGTCCTCCCTTGCTAGCTCTGTCAAAGTTTTCATGAGTATTTGTCAAAATGAGAAAAGTGAGAGGACTGGCATAAGGTTTTTGTAATACTAAATCTTATCAACTTAAAGGATGCTCTTTATTCTGGATTTATGTCCTTTCTATTTTTCTAGTGTTAAAATCTCCCTTCTTTTATAAAATAGTGTCCTTCCTTGGCATATTGGGAGGCTCCTTAATTTTTAAAATTTCATATTTCTTGAAATCCCAAATGAGTCACATCAGTAACTTCAGCTGTTTTAAATTTAATGTTTTAAAAGACTGAATTGTTGTATAGCATTACAAAAAAGAAATTTTCCGTGTATCTTCTGCATTGATTAATTGAAATGCCTGAGTCACCTATTTAGTAAAATAAATATTCAGGTTTGGTTAGTACTGATAAAATTATATTTACTTCACTTTCTAAGATTGTTACAGAAAAGTAGGTATAAATTTCAGGTAGCCATTCCTTGGGGAACCACAAGTAGAAGAAATACGACCCATCTCTGTTGGAGATTTTGTATGTTGTACTTTAAAAAGAACAAAGGATTTTTGTTTTAGGGACTTTTTCCTCCTTTTGGATGTTTTCTTGGAATTCAAGCTTCAGAATGTAGATTTTAAATTTAAAACCACAATGTAGCAATTACATTTATTTACTGATTATTTAAAGTGACTAAAGAAAATAAATTGAATATGCAAGATAGAAAAAATATTATAGTCTATAGGAAAATTTGAAAAGAAAAAAATACAGCTTTCATTTGTGGATGTCTGCATTATAATGTCTCTATTGAAGTGAACACGCCCAGGATATTCTATAAACAGCTGCACCAGGAAAAATTAGGGAAGAGATTGCTGTTATTAGTTTGACTGGCAGTTAATGGATAGCCTAAACAGTGAACACTAGTTCTTTCCATATAATTTAGCACAATCTTCTCCAGTCTGTAGAAAAAGCATGTAATTAGTACTGCACTGATGGCTGTGAATCTGTTTAACATTTTGTACTATATTAGAATTTAATTTTCAAATAAAATTTACTTGGCCATAGAGTACATTGAAATTCCAAACAACTTGGAGGATTGACAAAATTTAGTTTCATATATACTGATTAGAAAATGTAAATGGATATTTTAATGGATAAATAAATATGCCAAAGATAGCAAGTATTCCCAGTGATTAGCACTTTGTCAGATACCATCCAATGTATCTTTGTTATCCCTTGAATGTATGTTGTTTCTTAGATTTCTTTTACTAACCCTTGTTTTAATTCTTTTTATTGAGACAAATCTTTACTAAACTTAATCAGCTACAGAAATCATGATGGACAATAGTAGTCCAGGTTGCTTTATGCTTAGTGAAAAGTGTAAAGTAACCAACTGTAATTAGAATGTACAAATCAGCTAAAGTATGCTTACTTATTGGAAATGTATCACAATAGAATTGCTTTTGCTTTATGAACATTCAGAGTAAAAGTATAATGTATGAAAAACTTTTATGTAGTAAATGCTGCCTTTATCCCATGTATTGAAAGTTTTTTTGATATAAAGTATTGATTCTTTTTTAAAAAAAAAAAGGCCTTAATAGATAGAACTCAGTGTCTGAAAATTCATCCTTTAAAGTGTACAGTTGACTGCACGTGTGGCTTACAAGGTAGAGCCCCTTCCTAGCAAGCACAAGGCCCTGAGTTCAAAGCCTAATACTGCCAAAAGGAAATCCTTAAAGTACATAATTAAGTGGGTTTTAGCTTATTAATAGTATTGTGCAACCATTGCACAATAATTTCAAGGCATTTTCATTTTTAAGATTTTTTTCCCAAAAAACTACCCCATGTTCTTTGTTTATCCCCTTTGCCATCAGCTCCTAGCAACCACTAATACGTTTTCTGTTTCCATTCGTTTGCCTATTCTGGACATTTCATAAATGGGATCATATTAATATGTGGCCTTCTGTGATTGGCTTCTTTCATTTTGCATAATATTCTCCAGGCTCATCCATGTTGTGTATGTGAGAGTACTTTAATTTTAATTTTTTTTATGTGTGGATAATACCACATTTTAAATTTCCATTAATCAGATCATGGTCATTTGAATTGCTTCCCCTTTTTTTCAATATTGGGAGTTTAAACTCAGGGCTTCTCACTTGCTCGGCAGGTGCTCTACTGCTTGAGCCATGCCTTCAACACTTTTTTCTGTGGTTATTTTGGAGATCAGATCTCACTTTTTGCACAGACCAGCCATTGCTGGAATGAGAGGCACATGCTACCTTGTCCAGCTTTTTTGTTGTTGAGATATATGGTGTATTGCAAACTTTTTGCCTAGGGTTTGCCTGGAACCGTGATCCTCACATGTAGCTTGGGATACCAGGGACATGCCACTTCATCAGCTATTGATTTAGACCGTGTCTTGCAAACTTTTTGCCTGGGCTGTCATTGGACTGCTATCCTCTCTATCAGTTAGGCTTATAAGCATGAGCCATCAACTCCCAGATCTTTCATTTTATTTATTGTTATAAATAATGCTGCTATGGTTATACATGTGCACTTTTAAAAATACTTGGTTTATATATTCATTTATTTGTCAACACTAGGGTTTGAACTCAGGGCCTTACACTTAGTAGGAAGGCACTTTCTACAACTTGAGCCATGCCCTAGCCCACGTGTGCACTGTTTTATGGGCATACATTTTTAATTCTCTTGTATGTATACCGAGGAATGGACAACATTAAATATTGCTAATGTAATTAATGCTACTGAATTTTACACTTAACATTGGTTAAATTGACAGTGTTCATGTTATACATTTGTTAGCACAATGAAAAAATTGAATTAAAAAAAATTCGATAATCCAAAAAGAAACATTTGCAAGAAATGACTTACTAAACACAAAAGTTACAGCTTTTAATCTAAGAAAATGACAAATCATACAGTAGAAAGTTAGGAATAAATGTGAGCTAATAATTTACAAAATAAAAAAAATTTTAATAACATGAACAGAAAAATAAGTTTAGCATTTCCTAGTATTCGAAGAAATATAAATTAGAACAATAACAGCATTTTTCACTTAAGTTGTTTCATAAAGAGGTACCTTTATCATCTACTGGTTGGTAATGACATTTCTGGACGACAGTTGGACAATATATATATATCAAGTACCTTTGAACCTGTACTGTGTTTTTAGAATTATGTCCTGAAACACACAAGAGTTTATGCTGTACAGTGAGTTTCTTTACCAAAGCATTATTCATTATAGTGGAAGGTAGAACCCACTTAGTTATACTATGGTTCCTCTTATAAAAGAGAATATCACCATTAAAAATTATATTCTGAAGAAAAAAGGGAGTATATGAGGCAATGTGAACAATAGGTTGTTTATACAGTGACCTTTTATTATTAACGAACAGAAGGTGGAAAAATAGATAGGGAGGCTTACTTTGAGGAGATTATTTCTAAAGGGGAGATAAAAAAAATAGGAAGAAATTGAAGACTTACAAGCTACCTGGTAGAAACTAACAGAGAAGTGAAGATTTTAGGTGTCTATATGACAAGTAGTAAGTGTATAATTTCTTTTAGGGCATTGTAAATGTTGAAAATAGTTTGGAGACCCTTATGAGTCTTAGACCTAGATAGTATTACATTATATAACCCTTCCAAGTTAATTATTTTTGATTATGCAGAATGGAAGAGAGAAAGGAAATTGAGGCTGGGAGTAGAAAGAGAGAGAAAGAAACTGCATAATGAACTTACGAGTTAGCCTTTGAACAACATTAGGGGAGAAATTTGATGACATCTAAACATATACCTTCATGGTACATTTGTTTTTTCTCTACTGGGTTAGGATTGTGGCTAATACTATCAAGTAACTATTTAGTAATGATAATTCATTTGTATTAATGAAGATGATGATCATAGTTTTAAAAGTAGTGCTTTAATTCTCTAATATTTTTTGCATTTAAGGGAGGAAAAGACTGAACAGTTGTTGGACTGTAAACAAGAACTTGAGCAAATGGAAATAGAATTAAAAAGGCTGCAACAAGAGGTTTGTACCTGGAGCTGTTATTATATAGGACTACCAAATAATTGGAAATTGATTTTTCTACTTGTAATTGATAACCTGGACTCAATACTTTATACAAATAAATGTGGTAAGTAAGTCCTACAAAAAATTGGGTGACTTCTTTAGTGTCTTTCTAAAACATGGAAGAGCCAAAACTGGAAATCAAAGTCATTGGACTTTTCTTTCTACTCTTCAAACTTTGCTAAGATTCCAATGAGCCTCTTTGGACTGGGGCAGTTCCAAGACTCCCTTATTTGTGTATTTGGCGTCTGTGGCCTTGGACGCTGGAACAACTCTACACAATGTGAATTGTGCTGTTCATGTGTATTTCCCTGGGTCTCCTCTCTGATGGTGGCATTATATTAACTTATATATTAACTTTTTAATTTTTTTACTCTTTTCCTATTAAATTAGATAAAATCTTTTTGCTTTTAAAAATTATATTTTTTATATTACTTAAAAGCCTTGTATTTTTTTCATCTTGAACCAAACATTTTTAAGAATTTACTTCTTTTAGAAAATATGTGGGAAGAGGATGAGTGGGATGGCAGGTTCTGGGGGTGAGGAGAGAAGGAAAGAATAAGAGAGGGTAATGGGGATGAGCATGATCTAAGTACAGTTTAAACATGTATGAAAATCCATTATTTTGTATAATTAATACACTCTTTAATTTTTAAAAAGCCAGTATGGAAAAAAAAATTCATTTCTTTTAGCCACTTCAATGTTTTCATTGGGAATAGTGTCTGAATTCTTTAAACCCATAGATGCTAAGGTTTAGAGTAAGGTTGACAACGGTTTCTTCCTTTAGCTTTCCCCAACCTACCATTTTATTTTTTTTTATTTTTTAATTTTTTCCTTTTATTATTCATATGTGCATACAAGGCTTGGGTCATTTCTCCCCCCTGCCCCCACCCCCTCCCTTACCACCCACTCCGCCCCCTCCCTCTCCCCGCCACCCCCTCAATACCCAGCAGAAACTATTTTGCCCTTATTTCTAATTTTGTTGTGGAGAGAGTATAAGCAATAATAGCAAGGAACAAGGGTTTTTGCTGGTTGAGATAAGGATAGCTATACAGGGCATTGACTCACATTGATTTCCTGTGCATGTGTGTTACCTTCTAGTTAATTCTTTTTGATCTAACCTTTTCTCTAGTTCCTGGTCCCCTTTTCCTATTGGCCTCAGTTGCTTTTAAGGTATCTGCTTTAGTTTCTCTGCGTTAAGGGCAACAAATGCTAGCTAATTTTTTAGGTGTCTTACCTATCCTCACCCCTCCCTTGTGTGCTCTCGCTTTTATCATGCGCTCAAAGTCCAATCCCATTGTTGTGTTTGCCCTTCATCTAATGTCCACATATGAGGGAGAACATACGATTTTTGGTCTTTTGGGCCAGGCTAACCTCACTGAGAATGATGTTCTCCAATTCCATCCATTTACCAGCGAATGATAACATTTTGTTCTTCTTCGTGGCTGCATAAAATTCCATTGTGTATAGATACCACATTTTCTTAATCCATTCGTGAGTGGTGGGGCATCTTGGCTGTTTCCATAACTTGGCTATTGTGAATAGTGCCGCAATAAACATGGGTGTGCAGGTGCCTCTGGAGTAACCTGTGTCACATTCTTTTGAGTATATCCCCAAGAGTGGTATTGCTGGATCAAATGGTAGATCAATGTCTAGCTTTTTAAGTAGCCTCCAAATTTTTTTCCAGAGTGCCAACGTACCATTTTAAATGTTGAAAATACTTGCAGGATCATAAACTGCAACCTTTAGAAGAATAGCTTGAAAGTCCACAAATCTTTATTTCTATAGACACTGCTGTGGCATTTCCCTTGAGGAATGATTCTCCAAAACAGAAATTAGAGGGAAAAGAGGCACTATTTTATGTTTTTTGCAAATCTTATTAATGCCTAGTTAATAGAATACCCTTAGATTCTCATATCTGTCTCTGCATTCAGTCTGTCAAGGGTGTGTCTGTCACCAACACCAAATACCTCTTGGAAAAATTCCATGCAGTGTTTCTCATGACGAGATGCAACAGTGAAAAAAGACAAATAATGCTTCTTAAAATGTTATTATGAAAAACTGCTTACGTTATGAAACTCCCTGAATGTTTCAGGGGACCCCTTTATAAGTTGTTATAACAGTTGTTGTATACTTGCGAATTGCTGTTTCTCAAGGATATATAACACAAAGCTTTTTAAAAAAACAAATAACAAAAATGAGTGGTGGATTTAACTGCCTAACAAGAATGAAATCACTGAGTAAGGCCCCCTAGAGTACACCAATAAATAAATAAATAAATAAATATTCTTGCCAGTGCCTAGAGCACCCAACCTTGCAAGCATGAGACCGCCTGCATTCAGCCTACCAGAGTGCTTTTAAAAAAAAACCCTGGTTTTATAATTGTCCAATGGCATTAAAGATATGTACTAATCACTTAGTTGGAAGCATTGAAAGAAATCTCAGGAGTCCAAACATCATTTCAATGATAAAAGCTGCTAAGAAACTAGATAGAAGGAAAGTTCCTCAAATTATAAAATCGATATATGACAAAACCTACAGCCAGTGCATTATACCTTAACGGAGAAAATTAAAACCCACTTCCCCTCTAAATCACGGAACCAGACAGATCCACTATCCTCCACTCCTATTCCAACATATAACTGGCAATTCGCTAGCCAGTAGCAATTAGCAAAGTAAAGACAGAATAACAATCGGAATACCCTAATAGGTTTAAAGAAAACTGTCAAAATATCCCTATTTGCAGACGACATGATCCTATACTTAAAGACCCAAAAACTCTACTAAAGCTTCTAGACATCATCAATAGCTATAGCAAGGTCAGGATATAAAATCAACATAGAAAAATCATTAGCATTTCTATACACTAACATGAGCAAACTGAAAAAGAATGTATTGAAAAACAATTCCATTTACAATAGCCTCAAAAAAAATCAATACCTAGGTGCTAAACCTAACAAAAGATGTGAAGACCTCTACAAGGAAACTATACACTTCTGAAGAAAGAGATTGAGGAAGACTATAGAAAGTGGAGAGATCTCCCATGCTCCATGATTGGTAGAATCAACATAGTAAAAATGTCGATACTCCCCAAAGTAAATCTACATGTTTAATGCAATTCCATCAAAATTCCAATGACATTCATTAAAGAGATTGAAAATCTACTTGAAATTTATATGGAAACACAGAACGAGGCCACGAATAGCCAAGGCAATACTCAGTCAAAAAGAACAATGCAGGAGGTATCACAATACACCTGACTTCAAACTATATTACAAAGCAATAACAATAAAAACAGCATGGTACTGGCACAAAAACAGACATGAAGACCAGTGAACAGAATAGAGGACCCAGATATAAGCCACACAACTATAACCAACTTGTCTTTGACAAAGGAGCTAAAAATATACGATGGAGAAATAGCAGCTCTTCAACAAAAACTGCTGGGAAAACTTTTAGCAGTCTGCAAAAAACTGAAACTAGATCCATGTATATCACCCTATACCAATATTAACTCAAAATGGATCAAGGATCTTAATATCAGACCCCAAACTCTAAAGTTGATACAGAAAGAGTAGGAAATACTCTGGAGTTAGTATATAGGTAAGAACTTTCTCAATGAAACCCAGCAGCACAGCAACTAAGAGATAGCATAGATAAATGGGACCTCATAAAACTAAAAAGCTTCTGTTCATCAAAAGAAATGGTCTCTAAACTGAAGAGAACACCCACAGAGTGGAGAAAATATTTGCCAATACATCAGACAAAGGACTGATAACCAGAATATACAGGGAACTTAAAAAACTAAATTCTCCCAAAACTAATGAACCAATAAAGAAATGGGCAGTGAACTAAACAGAACTTTCTCAAAAGAAGAAATTCAAATGGCCAGAAAACACATGAAAAAATGCTCACCATCTCTAGCAATAAAGGAAATGCAAATTAAAACCACACTAAGATTCCACCTCACCCCTGTTAGAATAGCCATCATCAGCAACACCACCAACAACAGGTGTTGGCGAGGATGCGGGGAAAAAGGAACCCTCTTACACTGTTGGTGGGAATGTAAACTAGTACAACCACTCTGGAAAAAAATTTGGAGGCTACTTAAAAAGCTGACATTCGATCTACCATTTGATCCAGCAATACCACTCTTGGGGATATACCCAAAAGACTGTTACTCCAGAGGCACCTGCACATCCATGTTTATTGCGGCACTATTCACAATAGCCAAGTTATGGAAACAGCCAAGATGCCCCAGCACTGACGAATGGATTAAGAAAATGTGGTATCTATACACAATGGAATTTTATGCAGCCATGAAGAAGAACGAAATGTTATCATTCGCTGGTAAATGGATGGAATTGGAGAACATCATTCTGAGTGAGGTTAGCCTGGCCCAAAAGACCAAAAATCGTATGTTCTCCCTCATATGTGGACATTAGATCAAGGGCAAACACAACAAGGGGATTGGACTATGAGCACATGATAAAAGCGAGAGCACACAAGGGAGGGGTGAGGATAGGTAAGACACCTAAAAAACTAGCTAGCATTTGTTGCCCTTAATGCAGAGAAACTAAAGCAGATACCTTAAAGCAACTGAGGCCAATAGGAAAAGGGGACCAGGAACTAGAGAAAAGGTTAGATCAAAAAGAATTAACCTAGAAGGTAACACCCATGCACAGGAAATCAATGTGAGTCAATGCCCTGTATAGCTATCCTTATCTCAACCAGCAAAACCCCTTGTTCCTTCCTATTATTGCTTATACTCTCTCTACAACAAAATTAGAGATAAGGGCAAAATAGTTTCTGCTGGGTATTGAGGGGGGAGCGGAGGGGTGGAGTGGGTGGTAAGGGAGGGGGTGGGGGCAGGGGGGAGAAATGAACCAAGCCTTGTATGCACATATGAATAATAAAAGAAAAATGAAAAAAAAAATCTCAGCAAGATTTTGGTAATCATAATATATCTGGATAGAAACATTCTCTAAAGTAACTAGTGATTTACGTTAGTAATATAGCTTGCCTCTTCTGTATTTTTTACTATCTTGTGTTTTAAAGTCAACCTTTTCACCTTAAATTAATTGGAAATAATTTTAAGTAAAGGTTAACTTATTTTAAAAATCTTGAATTTTTTTACATTACTGATTAAAAAAATACTGTGTTACAAACATACATGTTTAATTCCTTTTTCTTCTTGGTTTAAGGATAAAAAGGCTTTTTATGTCCCCATTTTAGAAAACAACTTAATTGAGGTATAATTTCTATACCATAACATTTCCTTTAAAAATACATATAATTCATTGACTTAAAAAAAAATTATCAAATTGTGGAACCAATGCATAAAAAGTTGAAGAGTAATGTAATATTAAACATGCTATTCTTTGTTTATATTTAGAACATGAATTTGCTTTCGGATGCTCGTTCTGCTAGAATGTACCGAGATGAACTGGATGTACTTCGAGAAAAGGCAGTCAGAGTGGATAAGCTTGAAAGTGAAGTCAGCAGATATAAAGAGAGGCTACATGATATTGAGTTTTATAAGGCAAGAGTTGAGGTGTGTTGGGTAATTAACTATTCAGAATAGTTTTTTTTTTCCCCTAAAAGCGTTAATGATTTTCAAAAGGTATTTAAAATACACTTAATAAGCAAAAGGAATTCTTGAAGTTCAGGAAGCAGTAAATACTTACTTCAGTTATTTATTTTACGATAAATTCATTCAGACTTTTACAGTAGAATTTTCAGATGTTATTAATTTTATTCAACCCTTTAGGGCTTGTCTTTCATTTCTTTATAGCATCGTAGGTAGAGCAGACTTTTGAAGTTCTCACAGAGTCTAACTAAAATTTTTATCTCTACTAATCTCAAACTTGTTCCTAGAAGTGAAAGCAAAACATATTTCTGATTTCTGTTTAGCTAAGATTACTAAAATTAGGATCTGCAGACAAATTACAAAGAACTTTTCCTCCTTCATAGTTGTAATTCAGTGTTAGATAAAGTTGAGATTGACAAGCATTTGACAGTCCTTGTATCCTGTTTTCCTTTCTCAGCTAATTTCTTTATTCTCTGTGAACAGAAGAGATTTTGTTCAGTTTCGATATGAAGAAAAACAGAAAGCAGTATGCCAAAATCAAGAAATGCAAGCATAAAGTAGAATATTTTAGTCAAAAAGTTACCAGTAAATAGAAACAATAGGACTATAAGATAAAATACATATTAATTCTTTACCAATTATTTATTCATAATTATTTATTCATATATGCATGAATGCTGCTATTAAGGTGTATGCATGGATGCCACTGTCTTAATATACATTCTCTAGAGCCATACATGGTGGTGCATACCAGTAATCAAACCAGCATTTGGGAGACTAAGGCAGAAGGATCTTGAGTTTGAGGCCATCTTGGGCCTCATGGTGAGGCTGTTATCTATAAACAAAAAATACATGAAACATTTATTGATAAGGTCTTGGTTTATAATTAAGTCTTGGTATTTTACTATAAAAACCTAAAACTCTTCATTTTCAAGCATTAGCTATAAGTAAAGAATTTTTAAGTCTAGTTCAGTCACTATTATAAGTGCTAATTGTATGGAGATTTGTGTCTTTAATACCTGGAAGGCTATTTATTTATACTTTGTTCCTTATCCTTGTGACTAGGGAATTTCAATATATTCCAACAATTTCCTGTAAAATTATAGTATCACTCATTCTAATATAAAGGCTCAGTATTTTGATTGTATAATAGCTCAAATTTGGGAAAGGGGGTTTATGAAGCCAAAAAACATCAACTGTATTTCTTTACTTAGTAGCTCTACTCTTGCATAGTACTGTTGATAAGAATAACTTAATGTTTCACTTAACAATAAAGAATTTTTATGTTCCAGAGCTTTAAAAAATTAGCATCTATTAGTGCATTTGTGATTTTTTAAAAAGCAAAGCCAATTTGAAATGTTTATAGGAGTTAAAAGAAGACAATCAAGTTTTACTAGAAACAAAAACTATGTTGGAGGACCAACTAGAAGGAACTCGAGCTCGTTCTGACAAATTACATGAATTAGAAAAAGAGAATTTGCAACTAAAGGCTAAACTGCATGATATGGAAATGGTAAGTTGTATTGGGTAAGCTAATTAGATGGTTTCTAAGGAAATATTCTACAATTCAGCTGATTTCCCTATAATGATAAGGATGTGTAGAGGCCTTAAGGCTTTAACACAGAAGAGATAGCTAAATAAGGCAGGTGGTTCCAGCTTTACATAAATACCTATGTAGAAGTTTCTGCTATTAATTTTGTCATCTGCTTTTCAAAACCATATAAATAAGCAATCATGTAAACATGTCTTTAAAAATAAAGAAATAAAGCTCTCAGTTAAAATTTAGCATTGGTCAGAACTCTTTTGTTATATCATTAAAACCACATATTGATTATGAAGAAGCATATTCACAGTGTTTCCAAAGATAACTTTAACAGGATATCAGACCCCTGATCCATAATTACCAGTAATAATTATTCTGATTATTGTCTTCAAACTGTGAAAAAGTCAAGGTACTCAAAATTTAACCGTATATTATTCAGTTTCTAATAAATAAAAGTTATGAATAATAAAATAATAGCTTGAAATTGTAGTGTTTCTTAGATTTCTTTTCTCTCCCTGCTCTTTGCCAATAAAAAAGGAACGAGATATGGATAGAAAAAAGATTGAAGAATTAATGGAAGAAAATATGACTTTGGAAATGGCACAGAAACAAAGTATGGATGAATCATTACATCTTGGCTGGGAGCTAGAACAGATATCCAGAACTAGTGAACTTT